AGGAATAGCAAATGTAATATACGTCTGTAACAAACACCTTTCTACTACCCAAAGAAAAAGCAGATTGAAGCTTTACCTCTTTATGAACGTGCATTAAAGATTTATGAAGACAGCTTTGGTCACATGCATCCGCGTGTGGGGGAAACTCTGAAAAACTTGGCTGTGCTAAGGTAAGATTATATGCTTTAGCTCTATAAAAGCGAATTACTATAAAAATTACTGGATGAAACAAAACATCCTGGACTTTTGTACTTATTAGGAAAGTAGAGAGCCTTAAGTACACTTTGATAGCATGGTGTGCATTCCAATTTAAATGAATTGAGAGACTTGCTTTATTTGCTTGTTTCAACTTTGTTTTTACTCTTCTTCAAAGCTATGAAGGGGGAGACTTTGAGAAGGCAGCTGAACTTTACAAGAGAGCTATGGAAATAAAAGAAGCAGAGACTTTGTTGATCGGTGGAAAAGCAACTTCTCGACACTCACTGAGCGGAGATACATTCAGCTTAAAAAGTGCATTATCACCAAATATTTTCCTGGAACACGGACAAAGGTGATATAAATCTGCTTAAAGAAAGGGCAGTCTCTATTGCTGTTTTAAAGCGGACATAAAATTATTAAAACAAATCCATTTTTCCTAGGATAACATACTATTTTGGGACTGACACCTGTCTTCATGAATGACAGGGAGACAAATGTTTAAGCTTGAAATCCTCACATGTTAACTTTGCAGACTGCATGGTACGAAGTGAGCTTCTTTCATTATGTAGAGATAAGCCTGTTAGTTACTAGCTCAAGTTATAGCTAATACCAAAAACGTGGATTTGAGACCTCTTAGCCTAAGTGCCAGGATTATAACAAGTTAAGCTGAACCAATTGTATATACTCTATGGGGTAGTTCTTGTTTTTATGTTGTGATAGCCTGGCTTAGAGGATTTGTGTATTTTTGTTTCACCAACCCTTTCTGCCTTTTCAGAAGCTTTTCAAGTTGTTTCTAAAGAGAGAGTAATTTTGAAAAAGTCAAAATACTGTCCCACCCAAAGTTTTACCTGCAGGGTGATTTCAGCTTTAAGCAAACTTACATTCAAGGGACTTGTGCAACAATAATTGGTTTCCTTGGGAGGCGAATATATCTAAATACATCATCATCTACAGTTAAAGCTGTTGTCAGATTCAACTGTGTTCAGTAAAAATACTTCCAGTGAGGAATCGGAAAGTGGATGATTATGACCCGATTCCCTGTTGTTAACCCTTTAGCGATACTTTCACTATTTAATCTCATTGAATCCCTTAAAATACAAGAATGTTTGTATTAGCTGGAAAAACCTAGCGATACAAAATAGTTTGCCATCAGATAAAGAGATGCTACTCAAATCTACCTGCCTGTTGTATTTCTTAATACCCATGTCATCTGGAAGAATCAGTTTGAAGTCTGTTCTCATTCAGTGCATAAATCCATGAATCAATTTAAATACATACTAAAAAAAGACCTTTTATAAAAAAATTGAATGTAACTGCAAAATTAATTGAAACCTCACTGTAATGTTTCAGAGGCAACCGATGTAAAGATTTATTTGATCCAGTCTGAAAAATGCAAATGACCTTTACCTCAAAGGGATACTTACCTTCCACAGTATTTTTTCCCTTTTAGAGTAGGGTTAGTAAAATATAACCCATTTCAGCCGTTGCTCTGCTTAGAAGGAATTTAATATTTTGATAAGGCTGTAACTTGGCAAAAGAAACAGTATATAAAACTGATAGAATAAATATACAACCCAAATTTGATTTTTAAGATTAATATTTAGTTGAAAAAAACCTCAAAAATAGCTCTTGAAGGTATTACAATACAGCAACAAGAGCTGATAGTTTGTAATGGTTCTCTGAATATTTTCCTCTTACTTCAGAAAATGGTTTTTTAACCAAAGCAAGAGTTTTTGCAGTGTATTCCAGCCACCTTGAAAAGTTTTGAAAATTGGAAAGTTCTTTGCAGGATTGTTACCAAGTAAGGAGAGGGGCAAAACGAAAACACCCCACACTCCCCCACCCCCCCAAAAAATCCCCCCAAAAAACCAAAACCAACCTCAACCTGCTCAGCTTGCATGTGTTTCTGTTGCCTACTCTTCTCAGGCCTGGTAATTCCCTCCTCTAAAGCCAGTGTTATGAATTATCAGATGTCTGGTCTAGCTTGTCACCTCTGTTCTGACTTTAACATGTATGATGTATCTTGCTCTCCTAAATAGTTTTCCTTAATGTTGCTAGCTTAAATAAGAAGCTACTTTCTAGACCTTCAGTGTTAGACCAGACTTTCCCCATTTAGTCATTTCCAGTTCTGAACCGTTACTATTCTTCCATTGCGTGACTTCTCTCCAACTTATTCATAGGTTGCAGGGTTGCTTTTGGAAGAAAAATCAGTCCCTAAAAGCAGCAGATCCCAGCCATCCATGCCCCATTAGCAAAGACGGTAAGGAAACAATACGCTTACCTGGTCAACCCAAAGAAAGAAAACTTCCTACAGAAAGTAAAACAGGGTCACGAGTAATAGTGGAGGGTCTTGCAGGCCACGTGCTGGCCATAAGCTTATGCAGCTATAGTCATAGCGCTCTTAAGACAGTTGTTCATGTGTTTGTAGTTGTACCTCATGGACGTTAAAAAAAAAAAAAGTAATTTACATATCATCTGGTGTATGCCAAATAATACTTCTATGTAGGAGAACTCCACCTCAGATCAGAGTGTCACCAGTTTCAGTGGAGATTTAACCATACAGTCAGAATATCAACATCTCAATAACATTTATGGTACACTGTAAAAACTGAAAGCTTCTTTTATAAGATTGCCAAATAAACAAAGCTGGACTAAACCACTGCAATATGCTTTAATTTGTTAGTTCATAACAAAAGAAGTCGTAAATTTTCCATTGTGTTTTATAGTTGGACTAGATTATACTTGTAAATGTCTTCTTAATTAAAAAAAAAAAAATCCTTAAAAGTAAACAGCATCAAAGAAAAGCAGCTTTAAATAATTTTAACCACTGGCACATACAATCACCTTAATGTATTTTCTAATTATTTCAGATTCTTCTTGTATATACAAGTTGAAAGTCTGAAAGTAATACGAGAACCACTTTGCATACTCTGTAAGTGGGCATACAAAAGTGTATTAATTTGCTCATAAAACTGTACACGAAGTAAAATGGTAAACAGTTGCCTCTTGTAAAGCTGTCGATCATGTGATAGCAGTAATGTCAGCCAAATAGTTCAGTCAAGATTAACTGAGCTCTTGTAGAAATGAGTCAACCATTTGCCTCAGGATCTCCAGAGCCAGGTGCGTGCCTCACTTTTATTGTTCCCAACAGAAAGGTAAAGTCACAAAGAAACGCATGTAACACTTAAACTGACGCTTGGATCAAGCTAACGTGGACATAGTGACAGAGATTCAAGTATGTACCTTTTTAATGATCTCATTATTCTCTTTCCCATCCCTCTTTACAGTTCATTTCTAAAATCTGGTTTCTCCAAAACTGAACTCAATCTAAAAAAAACCACTTCCATTTTACAGTACAACGCACCATGCCCAAAACCTCCCTCACTAGCTTCAGAGATTATTTTTATGTATATAATATAATCTAATGTCAGCTGTGGAGGAGACAGATTTTGAAGTTTGTAACTGTTGCTTAGAAATCAAACATTTTTTAACTAAGTATTCATTCAGCTGCCCTAAGAAACAGAAACACCTCCACAATATTACTCTCTTTTTACATGTTGGTTGGATACCGCTACTACCGTTACTAGCTGGTTCCCTGCTAGGTTTTTTGAACAGCCCAGTTGGAAATACTTGTATTGTACTGCAGAGGCTGAAATTTATGTTCTTGTAAGCCAAATCTAAACAGTGATCAAGTTCTGGATCAGACACCCACAGCAGTTAAAATATTCGAAATTGATCCTTCTGGTTCTGCAGGGTACTGGCACTACAGGATGTGTACAGTTACAGGTCAGTTCAACACCTGATAACATAAAAGGTAATACGACCGTGCTAACATTATTTACAAGACAAATACAATAGCTAAGTTACTCCACTGAAGATATTTGCAACACTAAACAAAGTTTAGAGCATCTAATTTTAGAAGCTTTCCTATGCAAACTCAGATTAAGTATATTCCTTAATATAGCCCATATGATGGGGATAGATCAGAATTACAGCTAAACTTCTAATAACCGACAGAATATAATATTTAGATTTTCAAAGAGGTAGACAAAATCTCCTATTCTTTCCAGTGTTGCTGGTAATTCTTACTGATTTTGTCATGAAAAGCATCTGCCAGCTGAAATAGTGGCATGCTAATACCCAGTCTGCTGGTACAATTATCTGCTAACAAAAGACTTTGCCTTGTTGCAGCATACTCAAACCATTATCGCATACAAAACACAGACATATTTAAGAGCAAGGAGTAGTAAAACATTGATAAAACCAGGGAAGTTTAAAAAAAAAAAAATCCATCCCGGAGATATTTAAGGCGGACGAGAAGGCTGAAATGTTCTGTTCACTCAGAAAAACCAACCACAGCATGATCTGTGCCAAGGATTTACAGAGACCAGTGACCAAGAGCAAGTACAAGTGCCTGGAAAATTAGGAGCAGCAATATGAGTGAGGCATGATCATCTGCCCTTGACCTATTCAATCCACTCCAGCAGATTTCATCTTATCCTATACTATGTACTGTTCTTATCACGTGATATTGCATATAACGTGCTATGCCTGCTTTTGTTAGTTTGTCAACCTCCTTTTGTTTTCTACTGAGTATCTGGACACTAGCAATGCTGAGAAATTAAAATTTACAGTAGCACAACTCCCCATCTTAAAGATGTTAATAGACAACAGAATATAAACAAAGTAAGTCTGTTTCCTTCCTGCCCCTGTAACAGTTCCATTTCATCAGAAATGTAAAGTGGGGGTGAAAAAAGTCTGGTCTTCTCAAAATCCAATGTCAATCCAAACTCCCAAAAGTTGTACTTAATGTGTGTTTTGCTACATGTTTCTCATTTTGGCCATAAGTTCTTCTAGGCTTTCTTCAGACTCCACTACTGTTTCCTCAGTTGTCAAATTCTCTTCCTATTAGGGACAGGAAGAAAAAGATGGCAACAAAAATAGCAAACAAAAAACCACACACAAATAAGCTTTATTGCCGATATACCACGCCATTTTCCTAGAACTAAGCACTCAATTCCATGATTAGGCCTTAATGATTATGAGCTTAAACTGTAAACTGTTCTGACTAGGAGTTGGAATGTTCTGGCTGCAGGACATACAGATTCTGTGTTCCCCAGGTATACTAATTGCTCTCTGACTACATACAGCTTTTACAAGATCAATACGGTAAAAATTAATTAGTCACCAAAATATCAACTGAGAAATTCACATTCGTTTTCCTTCCCCCACCCCCCAAATATGTTCATTCCTGTCACCCCAAAACTCCATTCACGCTAGCACCTATACTTAAAGAAATGTACTTCATAGAAACACAAAACTGGACCACAGAAGGCACAAATCGGATGTACTGAGGTACAGTTTCACTGGAATTGTTCAAGATCGAATTTTATTCAAGGTTTAAAGGGTAACCAAACTGGCTAGTATTATAAATTTAATCTACAACATTTATTTCAAAAATTCATAAAGAATAAATATATTACCTTGTTTGGGATAGTGTATGCTACAGTAATTCCCTCAGGAAGATCAGGTACTGGGCCAGATGCAGCCTTCAGCTCATCTTCTGAAGTTTCTGATACTAATTCGATGCCTTTGCATTAAAAGGAATTGAGAACTCCATTAAAAATTAGAAGAAACAGTTCTTTAATCACTATATTATCACAGTAAGAGGAAAACAGCAGCTACTTTTCCAATACAGAAAAAATTAAAAGCAGAAAGCCCTTTGATTTCAACTACTTCATTCCATTATCAATAATCTAAGGAGAGTCTTCATCCTTTATTGGATGTGGGGGGAAACATAGTGACAAAGGATGAGGAAAAGGCTGAGGTACTTAACACCTTCTTTGCCTCAGCCTTTAATAGTTAGACCAGTTGTTCTTGGGGTACCCAGCCCCCTGAGCTGGAAGACAGGGATGGGAAGCAGAATGAAGCCCCCATAATCCAAGGGGAAATGGTTAGTGACCTGCTACACCACTTAGACACACACAGGTCTAAGGGGTCAGATAGGATCCACCCAAGGGTACTGAGGGAGCTGGTGGAAGTGCTCACCAAGCCCCTTTCCATCATCTATCAGCAGTCCTGGCTAACCGGGGAGGTCCTAGCTGACTGGAATTTGGCTAATGCAATGCCCATCTACAAGAGGGGCCAGAAGGAGGATCCAGGGACCTACAGGCCTGTCAGCCTGACCTTGGTGCTGGGGAAGGTCATGGAGCAGATCATCCTGAGTGACATCACACGGCACCTACGGGACAACCAGGGGATCAGGCCCAGTCAGCATGGGTTTATGAAAGGCAGGTCCTGCTTGACCAACCTGATCTCCTTCTGTGACAAGGTGACCTGCTTAGCGAATGAGGGAGAGGCTGCAGATGTTGTCCACCTGGACTTCAGTAAAGCCTTTGACACCCTTTCCCACAGCATTCTCCTGGAGAAACTGGCTGCTCATGGCTTGGATGGGTGTACTCTTCGCTGAGTAAAAATCTGGCTGGATGGCTGGGCCCAAAGACTTGTGGTGAATCCGGCTGGTGGCCGGTCACAAGTGGTGTCCCCCAGGGCTCAGTATTGGGGCTTACCATTCCTTAAGACAGTTCCTTCTAATTTAAAGCCCTCAGGGAAATATAAAAATCCATGGGATGCCTCAGCACAGCGGTTATGGAAATGACAAATGCTCTTTAGTTACATATTTAAAAGGAACACACAGTGAATACATCTTCTCACATCTTTCATATATTCAGACCATCTTCTGAGAAAGTTTTTTATTCAAATGGCAGTTACATTTTGAGCCTGAAGCCTGCACATTACACTAAAAATACATCATCAAGTTGTGGTAACATTACTGCCAAAACCTGCGAAAAGCCAGCAGTAATTACCCAGTATAAGTTACAAAAAATAGGAACCATAAGAAGTCTATGTACCCTACAGTGTGTTCACCGAGAAGAAAGACTATAATTCAGTCTCAGTACTGGGAACATCATTTAGTCTCCAGTTGCTTACTTACCCCAGTCATTGTCTTCATGTACTACTTCTTCTTCCTGTTCAATTACTTCTTGTTTTGGTTGTGCAGCTTCTTTTTTCTTTCAGAAAAAAACCACAAAAACATAAAAATATATGTAATAGTCCAATTTTCAACAACAGCAAAGAAGATCAAATCTAATATTCACACTTCTTTGAAAATATGCAGTCACCATTTAGAACTTTGTTAGACATAAAAGGCAGAATACCTGAAAGGTAAAAAAACAAACAAACAAACCCAACCCCCCCCCCCCCAAAACCCCAAAAAACAACAACACAAAAAACCCCACACAAATATTAACACTCAAAAATATATGACTCCCAGAAAGGTTGAGCAATTACTGTAGAAGAAAATATTATCTAACTGAATGCAAGCCATTCCGCCTACCCCATGCTTTAAGATAACTCCAGAGTACTGTATTTTTAGAAACACGTGCAACCATCTGAAGACAATGCTGCTGAAAATTGGAGTAGCAATCAAAGTTTTCTTTTACTACAGATCTGTAGCTTGCTTTGTTCTTAAGACTTTAAGAAAGGAAAAAAAAAAAAACCAAGACATTTTTACCTTATAATTTTCTTGCTGTTTTCTGCAATTTTGGTCACTACATTGTGGGTTTGGCTTCATAGACATAGTTGGAAAGAAATCCTGCATCGCATTGTAACCAAGATAATAACTCACAGTACCAAAATTTAACAGGTACCTAGAAAGACAAACAGAGAAAGCAGACCCTTATATACAGGTGCAAACCTAAAAATTCAGTTGCTCAAGGAATAATTTTTCCTCCAAGAACTTTTAGAATACACTTTCACACTAGTGAAGTTGTAAAGAGTTACTGTAAGTGTCTTAAAATAAACTGTGGTCACCTGACAACAGCATAACTGCATCAACATAGAACCCGGTCCTCCTGTGGCGTGTGTGAGAACAAGTCAGCTACAGTCTCAGAAAAAAATATATGTTTAGAGTAGTATGTAAGCAGTTTTCTCCTATGCCTTAATCCATTGCTTGAAACACCCAGGTGCCCCGTATTACAATGGGAGTTTTCAACAGCTAATGAGAACCAGTTTAATCATCTTTACTGTAGGGCCAGATTTGCAATGAAAATAGAGATTTAAATTAAGCTGCAATGTTTGCATTCTTCATTAAAGAAAAACACACATTGCTATGCAATTTTATACAATACCTCTCTCTGTACAGCTGAAAATGGAGCTTTATTGTTTGTAGGCACATTTGCCTAATAGTACTCCTATTCTTTTTAACTAGAAGTTTTTGGATAACTGACAAAACCACACTAAGGCTAAAAACAGGCTAAATAAGATCCTATTCTCAAAGATGCTTGTAAAACACAGTGCACGATATTGAAACTGAGTACAAAGTTGTTCAAATATTTTCCTTGCTGATACATGCAGTTCTTTTAGCAGCTGGAGTCATGTGACAGTGCCCTTTGAAAATATTAAAATATGTCAGATATTGCTATATAACTATTTTTAATTCCCCTCAGGTTTTTAGAATAAAAACACTGCAAGAGAAATGATTTATTCTTTGTCCATGTACAAAATTTCAAAGACAAGTCAGCACTGTAGCATTTTTTGCGTATAATTTAATGATGGGAGCATGGGAGCAAGTTTACACGGAGAACTAAGAAAAAACGTGCACGTGTGTATGCAGTAAGAGAAACTCTTAGGAAAGCTCTAAGACTTTTTCTTACCCCCTGAAAAGTTCTATTAAAAACAGCAGCTCCAAAGTAAACACACCAGTGATTCAAGCAGTGTATATTTCAGCCCTGTCCCATGATGCCAATACCTTTAGGAAACAGGCCACAAACATATAAAAAGAACCAGATCCATCATTATGAAATGTTCCTTCAGGTTTCCTTCTCTTATTGTGCTGTACATTGAATAGCAACAACTCAGTCACTTACTTCAGAACATTTTGTACAAGAATTCCTGCCACAACACCCATAGTTGTAGGAAGACTAGCTGCACAAACTCCTTCTCGTTTTAATGTTTTCTCATCAATATTTGCAGCAACTACAAGTGGAGGAGCACACTGAGGGGAAATAAAGAAATTAAGTTTAAAAAAAAGTATTAAAAAACCGCCACAGATTACACAAAATTTTAAGCTACTCCGTCAGCTGTGCCGGGATCACATTCACTAGCCAGCTAATCTTCGCATTCCCAGTCCTGCTTTAAAAGACAAACGAGCAATTCAGCAGAGCACTGCATACCGCAAAACAAGCAGATTCACCGGGTGTGATCAGCTGTATGTGTCCTGACACTGCATTTTCACTCACTCCAGATTCCATCCAGATTTGTCCAAGTTCATTGCAGGCCTTATAAACACAGAAACACATATATCAGCACTGCAGAAGTTTAATGACAAGAAAAAAAACAAAAACAAAAACGTAAATTGAGAGTGATTAAACACATTGATCCTCCTGCTTTAAGACAAAAAGGCTATGATCAGAAAAAGGAACATGAAAAGGTAGAATAGAAACTGTTTATCAGAGTCAAAAGACAAATTAGTGTTGTCCTCATGAAGCCAGCCCTTTGTGCTTCCCTGAGGACCGTAGATTTTTGAACATAGACAAACATTAGTGATCCAGTTACTAGCACACTACAGGATCTAATTGCACAAAGTACTTTCAGAGGCACAGATACAGTGTATCTGTGTACCTTCAGTGCATGCAGCTGATGGATCAAGTTAGCTGAAGGACAACAGAAAACATGCATTTGGCGTACACCCTACATTGGCTGCTACTATAAAGAAAACCAGTTTGATTAGGTACGCAGCCCTAAGACATTTTTAGTACACAAAGCGTCACATGAAGTATACAATTAGCTATACACAGTCTTTAAAAAGTTTATAAGATTTAACATAGCAGGCTTTCATAATACCTTTGTATAAACAGGATAATTTGGAAAGACAGACAGGGCTTACAACCCTTAACTCTTTTACTAACCATTAGCTGCTAGTAATTTAAAAGTTATATTATCCACATTTTATGTGGATAATATTTATAAGTTATATATAAGTTTATTTTTAAGTTATATTTGTACACATAAAATGTGTTTTATAAGAACTGGGTAAAAGCTCAGACTCTGTTTCCTTCAGCCAAGGAGGAAATTTCTTAGAAGATTCTCGATAAGTTCCTGTCTTTTCTCTATTCCCCACAATTCCTCACATTATTTATAGGAGAAAATAGACATCCACGAGCTCATGCGTTCGATGGCCTTACCGTGTTAATTGCCATGCGAGCTTCAAAGTTGTCCACGCAGCTTAGAACAAGATCGACAGGCTTCCCTTCCTCTAATGCACCGTTACTGAAAGAAGTATCAGAAGTTTGCATGAAATTGCTGGCAGAACAAAATACCAACACGGCAATCGACACGCTGCTTTAGAGCACAGAAGCACAAGGGAAGTGTATTTCTAACAAAACTTGTGCAAATGCAGAACAGGATACAACTGGCATCTTAGATCTACAGTAGAAACAGCAGCATGCTGAAGCTGGGATTTAAATATATAGACACTTTACATTAAAAGAAGTTTTATATAGTATACACTCACAATACAAAGTATTGGAGAATTGTATCTTTGTACAACATAACTGCATATGGGAAAAGTTATTTCGGAACTTCTCTGTGAGATCTGCTAATAACTATTTTCTTTCTTCATTCTATAAAGCATACCTGAAACTACTCCAGAGCAGTCAAAATATGATCTGATCTGTTTTCTGTATTGGGAAAAGCCTATAACACCTGCAGCTTTGGTTGGAAAACTAAAGATGCACTAACATAAAATATAACTATGTAACAGGAGAAATAAATGCGAACTCTAGAGAAAAGGTTGAGGCAGAAATGTCTTCATATATACATATTTCCCACTGGTTTTCAACTGGAAGTCATTAAATTGAAAAACCCCCAACAATAAAAATAGGAGGCTGTATTTAGAGCCACACACCAGCAGAAGGTGAGAGATTTTACCTTATTCTATCCATGAAATGTTCAAAGTTGTCCAGTGTTGTGATGTTGTAGTTATGTACTTCAAATTGAACATCAGGGTTAATGTTCCTTACGGAGGAAATAATATAAGTCAATGTTAATAAATACAATGATAACTTGCATTCTACTCCCTAACTTCACAAGTGTTGCTACAGTCTTAAGCTTCCAGTCTGAAATCTGGAATACACCCATATTTGTCAAAAATTCACAGATTAGATGAGAAAAGTCACAACATATCGAAGTGGTATAATTTATACCAGACTTCTGCTCAAAATTAGCTATACTTAAAAAGTAGACTTACATTAAGGTTTTGGCCAGTATAAAAATGTCCTTAAAGTATCAATCATTCCCACAACTATTTTATACTCAAATTTCCAAATTAGATCATGCTACTTTGCAAGTGATTAAGAAGGAAACATCAGTTTTCTAGAGCAGCATCCTGGGTAAATACATTTTGATACCCACTTTTCTAAGTTATACCTCAAAGTATGTTCTGCTGCTTGCACTTTACTTAATCCAGCTTGATGAGGTTGGAAGAAGAGTCTGTTCATGTTTGCCAGTTCCACTTTGTCATAATCAAACAGAAGCAGCTACAATACAAGATTGTATTAACATATGTGAATCTCCAAAGACTCTGCAACCAGAACACTATGGCAAAGCATAAAACCAACAACAAAAAACCCCAACCAAACATCCCCTTACCCCTGCCGTGCCATTCAGTTCACAGACAAAAGTTACCAACATTGTAAGTATGTGAAAGACTGAATTCTAACTGCCATTCACCAGGAACTGATTCGTTAAATCACGAAAACCACTCTTAATAAAAAGCAATCTGTTCATTTGATCTAAACTACGAATATTCAACACATCAGCCACATGAACACTATCGATTCTGTTATCACATTCATACTTGCTGTTATGGCATTAACTAGGAATGTGTAATTTCTTTCACTTGTCTTGGCATGTAGTTCTTCAAAAACAATTCACTTAAAATACCTACATAATACATGGACACGTTGATTATTATAAATTCTGAATCAACTGGCCAATGTCCTTTTCTATGCCCAAGGTGCTGGTCTTCAGGGAATGCTCCTTCAGAGGAGGGGGGAATAAACTTTGCAATAAAAAATTGCATCACCTCTGTATTAAGAAACTTCTTAAAGTTCCAAGAGTAAATGGTCAGGCTTTGCCTGGAAATACAAACATCTAAGCCATTCCCCAAATTCCTACTTTAAAGAAAAATCCTGTTCTGTTAACTCTGGGGGTTCCTGTTACCTATAGACATCAAATTATTTTTAACTGCTGCTAAATTTTTAGCTCTAAGTCTGCCACATGACGAACTAATGTTTGTGATAAAAATATGTTTGACATCTACTGCATTTCAATTTCGTGAATATCAACTTGTTCTCCTAACATAAGACTTAATCTTCTATGCGAGTTACCCCTTTCTTTTTCTTTATTTCGTTTTACTGTTGCAATAATCCAGTATGAAGGTTAGATAGATGGGCTCATGTAAGAGCACAGAGAAGACAAGCATCCAAACAAGAATCATCCACGTGACACAGGATTAACCCCTAAGTAAATCAATTTTACTAGTGTAAGAAAAATACAGACTCTTCATTTGTGATGCTTACGCAAGTGCTGTTCTTGAGCGCTTTCTCATAGTACTTTTTTATTTGGGCAAAATCAACTGAGTGAAATCAAATCTAACCCTTTATGAAGAAGACTGGTCCATAAAGAAGTAGAAGAAGAAAACTCTCATTACCTTACCAATGCCACACCTTGTCAACATTTCAGCAGTCACACTGCCAACACCACCTACACCTACTACTGCAACTGTAAAGGTACGGATTTTCTGTAGAAAGAAAGAAAATACAGATCAGTATATCAAAAGCAGTCCTCACAGGGCAAAAATGCAAGGCTGTTTTAATGCAGATAGAATCCTACCTCATAGTCTTTGACAATTCCCATTCTTTTTAACGCCATCAAGCGACTATGAAGAAAAACAGCAACATTATACAAAAAATGCTCTCTAAATTTCTAATAGCAATTTTGCTTTTCAGATATTTAAAATCACTTTTGCTTTAAAAATAACCCCACCAAGCGTCAAACTCAAGCCTGCTGTTTTCACTGCAGTTGTGATTGCCAGCTAGATACAGTCTAAATGAGATAGTAGATGCTTTCCTATTAGCAACAGAGTACTAACCCTGCAGAAACTCATGTACTTATTCAGCTGGTATGAGTAATGTCAATGAAATCAGGAGGACCCATAGCTATTTTCATAAGTGAATCCCTGATTTACAGAATGAAAGCCTACGCTTTTTTCTGTAATGAACCATATGGCAGCAGGCCAGTGAAAACTTTTTCACTGTTTTCTGATCAATTTGATTAGATTAAATCCAGCATAACGTTTAAAAAAAAAAGTTAGAGAATATCAGGTTGTGAGGATAACTGGTAGAATTTTCAAGTAACACTTTATCCTGCTATTACATTTTTTCATTGAAAGTATCAACAAAAGTACAAGTATCAACTTGTATTAAAGCAATTCATCCTGGGAAAAAAAAAAAAGCACCAGATTTCCCGAAGCGCTGAGCATTAGCAGGGGTCCCAGATGCTCAAGACTTCTCTAAACCAAACTCAAAATAGGTAAGTTAGAGGAATGAGAATAAGATCTCATGTAATACCAACACCTGTCCCATTTATTAGCAACTTAGCTGAAAAACTCACAGTTCCCTCTCTTTCTCCCTGTACTGTAAAGCAAGGTAATACACAGTAACCCCAACGTACACCCCTGCCAAGCCAGTCAGGTGGGACATTTGAGAACATCTCTCCCCTGCTCCCCACAGAGCACCTGCCTTCAGCATGGCCCTGACAGCCTCCTCAGCACACCCAGCCCCATCCCTTAGACCCCCTGCCTCCCCAAGCCCACCTCCACATGCCTTTTCCCCTTTACCCAGACCCACAGTTCCAACCCACGGCCTGAGACCCCACAGCCCTCCCTCTTCCCCGTCCTCTACACCCTCACTCAGCCTCTGGGCCTCCTCCCCATGGCTCAGGCCTGGCCCTCTCCCCATAACCCAACCCCCGTAGGCGCAGCTCCCTCACC